TCCTCCCGGCTCTGCCTGCTGTAATACCCTCCTGGCGGTGCTCAGGGGGCCTAAATAGGACCAGACCGAATGCTGGGAATCGAACCCGGGTCTGCTGCCTGCAGGCAGGCGCCCTCCCAGCCTGTCCTGTCTCTGGTCCCCCAAACCCCTTCCCCACTGTGAGCTCCGGGATTGGGGCAGAGAATCCTTGCAAGACACTGCAACCTCTCCTCTGTGTGTGTGTGTGTGTGTGTGTGTCTCTGTGTGTGTGTGTGTGTGTGTGTGTGTGTGTGTGTGTGACTTGCCCCGGGAGGCTGGGGGGCCGCCGTGCCCCTCCCCCTGCACTCACAGGCCCAGGATGCTGGCTGCCCCACTGCCCCGGGAGCCGCGGCCCCCAGAGGACCACAAAGGAAACAAGTCATACCCTCTCGAGGGCGCTGGCGTCAGTGGAACCTGGCACGGGGTCCCTGGGGGCCTTGCAGGCTGGCCAGGAAGGCAGCGGCCTTTGGGGACAGGCTGCTGCGTGGTGGGGACACGGAGGTCCAATTCGGGGTTCACCCCCCACCCTGCAGGGCAGGGACTGACATGGAGCTCCGAGGCCCGCCCCTGCCTCCTGGGCTGGCGTGGGGGGTTGTTCTGTGAAGAGGGGGACTCAAGAGCCTGCAGCCCCCCGGCGTCCGCCTCTTCTGAGCACCCCAAACAGCTCCACCTGGGTACAGTGGGGAGGGCATTTGCCTGGCATGCGCCGACCCGGGTTCGATTCCCAGCATCCCATAGGGTCCCCCGAGCACCGCCAGGAGGGATCCCTGAGTGCAGAGCCGGGAGTCAGCCCTGAGCATCGCTGGGTGTGACGCAAAAAGCAAGAAAAAAAAGAAAAGGAAAGAAATACGCAGCAGCTAGGGAACAGCTATTTTGGGAACTGGGGGGCGGGAGGTGGTCACTGTGTGAGCTGCCTCTTCCAGCCCAGTGAAGCCGGGAGCCAGGGTCAGAGGTCAGAGGTGAAGGGGTGACCTGTCCGGACTCAGGTTCCCCTGCCAGAGGGTGTTGAGGGAGGCGTGTCGGGGAGATTGTCAAAACTGGGGCCCAGAGGGTTGGAGCGACAGCACAGTGGGGAGGGCGTTTGCCCGGCACGCGGCCGATCCGGGTTCGATTCCCAGCATCCCATAGGGTCCCCCGAACACTGCCAGGAGTGATTCCTGAGTGCAGAGCCAGGAGGAACCCCTGTGCGTCGCCAGGTGAGACCCAAAAAGAAAAAAAAGGGGGGTGTCCAGTGCCCATGCAGGGGAGTGTCTGAAAAACACCCCAGCTCAGGGGTCAGGCCAGGAGGTCAGCACCGCTCCTAGCTTAGGGCCTGTCACTGACCTCTCCTCACATTCCGCACCTTGCCTGACCTTGGTGGGGTGGCCATGACCTTGAGTGACCTTGGGCTCCTATGACCTCCGTAGCCATGACCCTGAGCAACCATAGATGCGTGTGACCTTGGGGCCCCTGTGGCCTGCTTGGCCTCCTGCCCTGGTGTGTGCTGGTCCCCCTGACCTCGCCCGCTTTGCGGAAAGTTCTAGAAACCAGGCACCCAAGAGGGAGCTACTGTGCCCACGAGCGTCTCACCCGGACTCTCTCTTCCAGCTCAGCACCAAGACAGCCCCGGCTACCAACCAGGCCCCCGGCCCAGAGGAGAAGGGTGAGTATCGGGCAGGGGGCTTGAGGGGCACTGGGTGGACGCCCCAAGGTGGGGTCTGGGGTGCATGTGGGCATGGTCCTGGCTCCACTGGGCCCAGATGGCCCAAAACTGCTGGACATGGAACCGTCTGCCTCGGTTGGCCCAAATATCATTAGTGTTGGGGCTGGAGCAATAGCACAGTGGGTAGGGCCGTTTGCCTTGCACACGGCCGACCCGGGTTCGATTCCCAGCATCCCATAGGGTCCCCCGAGCACCGCCAGGAGTGATTCCTGCGTGCAGAGCCAGGAGGAACCCCTGAGCATCGCTGGGTGTGACCCAAAAAGAAAAAGAAATATCATTAGTGTTGACCCCAGGAAGCTTGCTCGGGAATACCCCCAAGAGGAAGCAAAGAAGGGGCATTTCCGGTCACCTCTGGGCACTCTGGTCTGCAGGGAAGGCCGGAGGCAGCAAGAAGGAGGAGGAGGAGGAGATCGACATCGACCTCACGGCCCCCGAGACCGAGAAGGCGGCTTTGGCCATCCAGGGCAAGTTCCGGCGCTTCCAGCAGAGGAAAAAGGAGCCCAGCTCCTAGGGGCCCGGCCGCACCCCCCATCCCTGCGCCTCCTGCCTTCTCCCTCCGCAGCAGAACCCGGGCCAGGTGGGGAGGGAACGGTTTCTCCCAGCTGGGACCCGCCCCTGCCTCCCCCAGACCACAGATGGCCTAAGGAGGAGGAGGGAAGGGGGGCTGGGGGGGCCGCGTGACTCTTCTCCAGAAATGTTCTCCCTGGGGTCAAGACCGACGGAATTGGGGCCAGTCAGGCCGGTCGGCTCCGTGTCCGGCAGTCTGGGGTCATTGGGTCCAGTGGCACCAGGATCAAGCCAGGGGCCCAGGGACACGCCCACAAGCACCCGGGCTCTCACCCCACCCCCCCTCCCTTGAGCCGCGACTCTCTGGGGGCCCCCCCCCCCGAAATCCCTACAGCTTTCACACTAGTGCATGCCAGTAGGTGAGTCCCAGGAAGGGGCAGAGTCGGTCCCTGGGGAGGGACACGCGGCCACGAGCAGAGGGAAATGGGCCCCGGCGGGGACAGGGGAGGGGGCTCGAAGACTCAGCTCGTGAGGGGGGTTCTCGGGGTGCCGCCGACCTGCCTGCGACCGACCTCTCTTCCCCCCACCCACCCCTCGAGGCCATGCACGCACGCGGGGCTGTAGCCGCAGCCGCCCCTCCCCCCGCCCCCCCCACTGCAGGGCAGAGCGGAGTAGCCGCGCGCGGAGGGACCAGCGCATGTCGTGATGCTGAGAATAAAAGCCGTCTGGTGTGACCCGCCCCTCGGGTGCCTCTGCTCCTGTGTCGCGCACACATGCTCGCCGGGGTTGGCTGTTGAGTCCCGTGGAGAGACACACACACACACTCACTCACACACCCCCCTTCTCCTGATGTTGGCTGTTGAGTCCCATGGACACACACACACACCTTCTGTTGAGTCACATGTGTACACACACACACACACGCACCTTCTCCTGGATGTTGGCTGTTGAGTCCCATGGAGACACACACACACACATACACACACACACCTCCTGATGTTGGCTGTTGGGTCCCATGGAGACACACACACACATACACACACACACCTCCTGATGTTGGCTGTTGAGTCCCATGGAGACACACACACACACATACACACACACAACTCCTGATGTTGGCTGTTGAGTCCCATGGAGACACACACACACACATACACACACACACCTCCTGATGTTGGCTGTTGACTCCCATGGAGACACACACACACACACACCTCCTGATGTTGGCTGTTGAGTCCCATGGAGACACACACACACACATACACACACACAACTCCTGATGTTGGCTGTTGAGTCCCATGGAGACACACACACACATACACACACACACCTCCTGATGTTGGCTGTTGACTCCCATGGAGACACACACACACCTTCTTCTGTTGTTGGCTGTTGAGTCCCATGGAGACACACACACACACACACACATACACACACACACCTCCTGATGTTGGCTGTTGAGTCCCATGGAGACACACACACACACACACACACACACCTCCTGATGTTGGCTGTTGAGTCCCATGGAGACACACACACACACATACACACACACAACTCCTGATGTTGGCTGTTGAGTCCCATGGAGACACACACACCTCCTGTTGTTGGCTGTTGAGTCTCATGGAGACACACACACACACATACACACACACACCTCCTGATGTTGGCTGTTGACTCCCATGGAGACACACACACACCTTCTTCTGTTGTTGGCTGTTGAGTCCCATGGAGACACACACACACACACACATACACACACACACCTCCTGATGTTGGCTGTTGAGTCCCATGGAGACACACACACACACACACACACACACCTCCTGATGTTGGCTGTTGAGTCCCATGGAGACACACACACACCTTCTGTTGTTGGCTGTTGAGTCCCATGGAGATACACACACACACACATACTCACACACACACTTCCTGATGTTGACTATTGAGTCCCATGGAGACACACACACGCTTTCTCCTGTTGTTGGCTGTTGAGTCCCATGGAGACACACACACACACACACACACACACGCCCTCCCCAGACCTCGGCTGCCCTGAGCACGGGGCACAGGTTCCCCGAGGCACCTTCGCTGTGCTGGGCCAGAACCCAGGGTGGATGCCGGCACCCAGGGACCCTCCAGGCTCCCTTTCCCAGAAACCTCCCAAACCCCCAGCTTCCTCCCACCCGGACCCGGACCGAGGCGGGGCCAGGCTGGGGATTTTCCCCAGGAAACCAGCCGTGAGCCAGGAACTTCTGCAAATGTCAGTGTTTATTAAACATTCAGGGATTGGGGAAGAAATATACAGAATCTAGAAAAACCCAAAGGCTCCTGGCGCCCCTGCCCGAGACCCGCGCCCCCTCCTCAGCCGCCGGCTGTCAGGACCCCCATCTCTCTCTCCTTCCCCGTGACCTTGAGTCCCAGGACAGTGCTCCAAAGGGTGCAGCTGAGGGTGGGGCGAGGGTGCTCTGCTGGGCCGGCTGGGGGTCGGGGGCGGCATGACGTCATGGGTGCTCAGTCATGGGACGGAGTCCACCTAAAGGACCCCTAAAGAAAGCAGCTCTGGGCCACCGGGTGTTAGGCGGGGGGCGGGCTGACCGGGGAGCCAGCAGGGAGGTGGGCTGGGGAGGGGGTGTCTCAAGGTCCCTTTCTTTGGTCCTGGAGGGACAGGCACCAAACACGCAGTCCTTGGGGTGGGGGGCCTGGCCGCGGGGAGGGAGGGGCGGGCAGGGGGAGGAAGCACCTCGAAGGGGGGCAGGACAGGACAGGACAGGACAGGACGGGGCGTCCCTCGGGCAGGGCTGGGGCGCTCACGAGGCCGAGTCCCGCCCCATCATGTTCTTCAGGGCGTTCTTGAGGCTCGTCCTGCTGGGCGACTTGACGGCCGGTCGCAGCGCGGCGTCCGGCTCATCCTTGCGGAGTTCCAGCTCGATGACCACCACCCGCGCGCCCCGGGCGGGCTTGGCCGCGCCCCGCGCCCCGGCCCGGCCCCATAACCGCTATTTCTTGTCCTTGCGCGAGTCCCCCAGGCCCCTGGACTTCTTGTCGCTGCCCTTGGAGCTTCTGCTGTGGTCCAGCATGGCATAGAGGACCGGCGTCTGCGGGAGTGGACAGTGAGGGTCCCCCGCGCAGGGGAACTGCCTGGCCGGCGCGCGCCCCGCGCCCCGCGCCCAGGGTCCGCCCCTGGCCCCCTCCCGCCCCCCTAGCCCGCCCCTGGCCTCGCCCCCAGTCCGCCCACCTGCCGGCCACGCTTGGAGTCCTTGGAGGATTTGTGCAGCCGACCCTTCTCCATGGCACTGCGGGATGGGGGAGAGGCTCGCGGTGGACACAGTTCTCCAAGGCGCGCGCACCCAGGAGCGGGGTTTGAGGGTGCCGGGACCGCTCCCTCGGGCCCCCCAGCCGGGATGGGAGCGAGGGGCCGGGTCTGGGGGTCCCCGGGGCGCCTACCTGAGGCGCCTCTGCAGCGCCGCCTGTCTGCGCAGCCAGCAGTAACGCACCAGGTAATAGAGCAGCAAGAGGAGCAGCACCAACCCCAGGACGCCCCCGATCACGGCGCCCAGCACCACCCCGTACCTCGTGGGCACTAGGGGGGAGATGGGCGTGAGCGCGGGGACGCGGGATGGACCCCCCGCAGCCCCCCGCTGTCCCCTCTCCCGCGCCCCGCGCGCGCGCGCGCGCATCCCGCGTGCGCCCCTGCGCCCTGGCACCTTTTTCAAAGACGTAGAGTTTGACCTGGGAGGTCTTGCCCACGATGTCGGGCGGGTTCTTGACGTCGCAGGTGAAGGTGCCGTTGTCGCTGTAGTCCAGGTTGTGGATGATGATGGAGCCATCCTTCCAGCGGGGGTCGCCCACCCACTGGATGCGCTCCTTGAAGGCGCCCACCTCGTCGATGTACGGCTGGCCCTTGGCATAGTGGAAGATCTAGAACGGGGGGGAACAGAGGGACCGAGGGCGGGCGTGGGGGTGCGGGTGGGACCACCACAGGACCCCTCTGTGGCCAGCCCAGGTCCAGCCCAGCTCAGAAAGCGTCACCAGGGACTCGTTTTGGGGACCTGCCCCGCCATCAGCCGCCACCACTCACCGAGATGGCATCCCGGCCGCCCTCGGGCTGGTAGCGCCAGGTGAAAGAGATGTCGTCGGACACCCACTCGCTGGACCAGAAGGAGCAGTGCAGGGTCACCCGGGAGCCCACAGCCCCGTACACCACTCGGTCCGTGTACACCACAATGGCTCCAGCCGGGCTCAGGGCTGCGAAGGGAGGGAGGGAGGGAGGGAGGGAGAGGAGAGAGAGGAGTGCCACACAGGTCAGGGCCACCGCCAGAGGGACAGCGACACCGGTGACCCTGCCCAGAGTCAGGAGTCCCCCCCAGCCCTGGTTCCCTTGTCTGGACTCACTTCCAGACTGAAGGAACCACAGTTTCCTGCAAATGTCCCCGCGACCCAGGGGCAGGGAGACTCCTCCAGGAACCTTTGTTCCTTCACTGGTTACACCGTACTCCAGGCAGGGCTGGGCAGTGTCCAGGGGACCCTGCGGAGTCCCCCATGCAAAATAGCCTTCACCCCTTTGAGTGTCTCCCCCAAAACTCCTCCCGCCTCGAACCATCGCTGGTGATGCTCAGGGCTGACTCCTGGCTCTGCACTTTGGAGTCACTCCTGGCAGGGGGACAAAATGGAGTGGTCGCGTGTAAAGCAAGTGTTCTCCCCTCCTGGCCCCTGGATTCTTGCTCACCCCCTCCCAGGTACGACCCCGCCTTTAGCTTCATGTCAAAGCTTTGCCAAGTGACACTCGGGTAAAGGAGACTAAGTGTTTGCTTAGAAGAGCAGAGAGCTTCCCTTTGCAGTTATTTTATTTTATTTTGCTTTTTGGGTCACACCCGGAGATGCTCAGGGCTTATTCCCGGCTCTGCACTCAGGAATCACTCCTGGCGGTGCTCGGGGGGGACCCTATGGGATGCTGGGAATCGAACCCAGGTCGGCCGCGTGCAAGGCAAACGCCCTCCCCGCTGTGCTATCGCTCCAGTTTTGGTTTCTTAAAACACGAGGGACAGGAAGGAGCACAGTGGGTAAGGCGCTTCCCTTGCACGTGACTGACCTGGGGTTGGTTCCCGGCATCCCATAGGGTCCCCTGAGCACCACCAGGGATGTCTGAGAGCAGAGCTAGGAGTTACCCCTGAGCACTGTCAGGTGTGGCCCCAAACAAAAAAAGAAAAACAAACAGTGCTATATTTTCCCTTCCTTTTTGTTTTCCGGACACACCTAGCATTGCCCAGAAGCTGCTCCTGGCTTGGTGCCTAGGGGTCCCTCCCAGCAGTGCTAACGGGGACGATATGGTCCCCGCAAGCAAAGCCTGCACCCAGCCTGCTGAATTTCTCCAGGATTTTTTTTTGGGGGGGGGTGTCACATCTGGCAATGCTCAGGACTCACTTTTGGCTCTGCACTCAGGAATCACTCCTGGTGGTGCTCAGGGGACCCTCTGGGATGCCAGGGATCGAACCCGGAAACCTGGATTGGCCGCATGCAAGGCAAATGCCCTCCCTGCTGTGCTATGGCTCTGGCCCCCTCTCCAGTTTTATCTTGTACTCTCCTGGCTTAAATAAGAATAGAAATGGGGCCGGCAGGGCAAACAGTATAGCAGGAAGTTGCTTCCCTTGCATATGGCCAGCCGACCCGGGTTTGAATCCTGGCACCCTAAATGGCCCCTGAGCCCTGTCAGAAGTGATCCCCAGGGTGGGGAGGGGGCCGGAGCGATAGCACAGCGGGGAGGGCGTTTGCCTTGCACGCGGCTGATCAGGGTTCGATCCCCGGCATCCCATAGGGTCCCCTGAGCACTGCCAGGAGTAATTCCTGAGTGCAAAGCCAGGAGTCACCCCTGTGCATTGCCGGGTGTGACCCAAAAAAAAGCAAAACAAAACAAAACAACCTGGAAGTGATCCCTAAGCATAAAGCAAGGAGTAAGCCTGGAGCACCCCACCAGGTGGTGTGTGTGTGTGTGTGTGTGTGTGTGTGTGTGTGTGTGTGTGTGGAGGCCTTCCAGAAGATTCTAAGCAGCAATCTCATCTCCTGGTCCCATGTGACAAACTCAGGCTTCTTGTAGGACAGGAAAACGACCAGTGGCCACATTTCCTTTCCCCATACTGCCTTTCCTGTCCAGCTGCCCTGCTGTGCCCCCACTCACCACCAGCAAGCCGGCCCTGGCCTGGGGGCCAGGAGGGGGTCACTGAGGGGCCGGGCAGGCCCCCAAGCCAGGGGGCTCCCTGCTCTGGCCCGATGCCACCCCCCACTCACCCACACTGAGGCCATTCCAGGGAGGCTGCGTGGGGGTGACTGTGACCCCATTGTTCACAGGATGGGGAGGGCAAACAGAGATCTATTGTCGAGCTCATGCCCCCCGCCCCCCCCGCCCCACTGCAGCCTGGGGCCCCCTCACATTCCTGGGGGCCCCAAGTGCTCCCCAGAAGGCTGGAGCGGCCGCTGTCCCCTGCTTCCTCCTCATAGCCCTCAGCCCTCTGCTCCTTCCACCCCTGCAGTCTCCTGGCCCCATTTCCCTGAGTCTACAACCCCCCGACCTCCTTTCCCCCCACTCTGCTGTCTAGAGGGGTCTAGAATCTTCATTTAGGGATCAGCTGCTGATGACAGAAGTGCATGTCCCCAAAGTACCCCCTTTTGACACTGCTGCATCACGGGGGTCTCCAGGGGATCTTGGGAAGGAGATGCTCCTTAAACCCTGCTCTGATCTGCGCCCTAGCCCCCCTCCCGGGGCCCCCCAGGGAAGGAAGGGACCCCTCTAAGAAGGAAGATGAGGGGCCGCAGCCAGAGTCCAGCCAGAAGGGCACTTGTCTTGCACGCGGCCAACCCAAGTTCCATCCCCGGCAGCCCGGGTGGCCCCCTGAGCCCTGCCAGGAGTGATTCGCTGAATTCAGAGCCAGGAGTCAGCCCTGAGCACTGCTGGGTGTGGCCCCTCAAACAAAAGCAACCCTCCCCCTGGACAAAGAAGGAAGATGATGACCTGGTTCCAAGATGCTGAGAGCCACCCCACCCCGCCCCGTCCCGGGAATGGGGCTCAGAGGGATGCCAGAGTTGGGACCCTTGGGGCCAGAGCAATAGCATAGCGAGTAGGGCGTTTGCCTTGCACGCGGCCAACGTGGGTTCGATCCCCGGCATCCCATATGGTCCCCCCAAGCACTGCCAGGAGTAGTAATTCCTGAGTGCAGAGCCAGGAGGAACCTCTGAGCCTCACTGGGTGTGACCCCCCCAAAATAAAAAAGAGTTGGGACCCCTTCCTGGGATTCCTTCCTTGCATCCCTCTTTTTTTTTCTTCTTCTTTTGCTTTTTTGGGCCACTGCACTCAGGAATGACTCCTGGCGGTGCTCAGGGGACCACATGGGATGCTGGGAATCGAACCCGGGTCGGCCACGTGCAAGGCAAACGCCCTCCCTGCCGTGCTATGGCTCCAGCCCCCTAGCTGTTCTCTTGGGGGCTGCCGAGGTGGGCAGCGCTGGGGGGCGATGCAGAGGGAGCGGCCACAGGGCCCTGTGCCTTCACCCCCCTCGCTGGCATGACCCTGGCATGTTCTCGGCTTTCAGCGGGGCCTGACTCCTGCAGCTGTCCCCCTCCAAGTGGGCAGGTGGCCGCCGAGAGGGGCACCCCTGAGCCCGACTCACCCAGACAGCAGAAGACCAGGACAGCCAGGACGGGGCTGGGAGCGGACGCCGGGGCCCCGGGAGCCATGGTGGGGGGCAGGGCTGGAGCAGCGGTGGGCTGGGAGAGTGGGGGGCCTGGAGCTGAGTGGGGTGTCCTGGAACCCGCTTAAATCCCCGGGGCCCGCGGCCCGAGGGGGCTGGCCTCAGCCAGGAGCCAATTGCCTGCTGGTATGTGCGGTTGGTTGAGAGGTGGCGGGGGGCAGGGGGGCATTGTGCCCAGCGGGGAGGGCCGGCGGGGGCACATACCACCCCAACACAGACGGCTTTGTGTGCGCCAACCTCCCCCTGCCCAGGGGCTGGAATGTTGGGGGACAGCGAGGGAGAGGACAGAAAAAGGAACACAGGCCCACTTCTGAGGGGAGAGAGGGGGGAAACCTGGAACGGGGTGGGGGTCTGGCCACGGACAAGCCTCCTCCCCAGGGCCCCCGGGACCCCAGGAGCCAGCTACAGGCCTCCCCCTAGATTTGGGGAGCCCTTGAGGCTGAGACTAGCCCAGGCCCCGTCCCAGGCCAGCTGGGATGCCTGGCGGGGAAGTGGGGGGCATTTTCCCATCTCCCTACTTCGTGGCTGAGCCTCCCAGATGGGTGCTTTCCTCCACCAGAGAGAGCTCAGTGGGTGCCTCATTGAGGGGGGGGGCTTGGTCTCTGGTGCACACAGTCCCCTGAGCACCATTGGGGGTGACCCTGAACGCAGAGCCAGGGGAAGCCTCTGAACACCACCAGCTGTACCTTCCAAAAACTCAGGCGAGAGGCTGGAGAGATAGCACAGCGGGTAGGGCGTTTGCCTTGCACGCGGCCGACCCGGGTTCGATTCCCAGCATCCCATATGGTCCCCTGAGCACCGCCAGGAGTAATTCCTGGGTGCATGAGCCAGGAGTAACCCCTGAGCATCGCCGGGTGTGACAAAAAAGCAAAAAAAAAAAGTCAAGTGAGAAGTTTCCCATTTTTTTCTCCGTATCCAGGTATACCCAATACCCAGCTCCCACAGGTGGACTCTGTGGGTTTGGGGCAGCGCCCAGGAGCACTGTCTCATGTGCCAACTACATGCCCAGCATGGAGTGGACAGAGAAAGGAGAAAATGCAGCTCCTTGAGCTCAGGGTTAGGACCTAGTCCGGGAGGCAGAGTGATCGGAGGACAAAGACCAACAAACTATCTCTCTGACCTCAACTGTTGTACTTTACTGTTATTTTTTGGGGAGGGAGCAGGCATCACGCCCAGCGATGCTCAGGACTTCCTCCTGCCTCTGCACTCAGGAATCACTCTCTCGGCAGTGCTCCGGGGACTATATGGGATGCTGGGGATCGAACTCCAACTGGCCACGTGCAAGTCAAAGACCCTCCCCGCCGTGCTGTCACTTGGGCCCCTCAATGTTGCATTTTCATCCAATTCTCCGATGATTTAACTCTTCTCTAGAGAAAAGTTGGGTTTGGTTTACGACCCATTCTCGACCTTGCTTGGCTGAGCTTCTTGGAGCTGAGCAGGGAGCCACGTTGCAAAACCCTTTCTCTCTCTCTCTCTCTCTCTCTCTCTCTCTCTCTCTCTCTCTCTCCCTGGAAGAGAGGGTCGGGCTGGCTGCGAGGGCAGGGAGGATGCCTTCCTAATTCCAAAGTCAGCGCCAAGAAGCGCTTTCTTTGTCATGCATGATAGAAATGCAAAGTAGTGTTTTCATTTGATGCAGGAATAAGTGAAACTGTGCTATTTATAAATCCCGAAAGAAGCGCAGGAGATCTAAATAGAAATAAGATCTGAATATTAATGCAACGGAATGCATTTTAATGTGGAAGAGGGGGGCTGTTCTGAGTGTCGCCTTCACCAAACTCCCCCCTTCCCCCCCAAGACAGGCTGGGAAACTTTTGCCCTCTTTCCAGTAGTCCCTTCTTCACGTGCCTTTTTCCTCCCATAAATCCGAAGTGCAGTTGAGCACTGTGCTTAGGGTCCTGAAAGCTGTGTGTATAAATATACATATCCATAAATCAAAGCGAACTCCCCACGCCCACTGCGGCTTCTTGGGGCTGTGGGTGACACCCACGGCCATGCATAAAGAACAAGGGACCTTGTCTTTGGCTGGTGGGCGTCCAGCTCCCGCTGGGGCCCGAGCCCGGGCTGGGGGGCGTGGGGGTGGGCTTGGGGGGTTAGTCACGGGGGCTCATGGGCCGGGGGGCCCTGCTCCTGCAGCCTAGTCTCCACTGGGGGCTTCGGTCGTGTTATCCCGTGTTATAAGGAGCCCAGCGCGCCCGTTCCCAGGGGGGCTCCTGCCTCATCTCCCGGCGAGGGGGGCGTCGGCCGTCGGGGGTGCAGGGTCTGGCATTTCTCAAGACACACTGGACTGACACGGTAGAGGGACCCAGGGTGCCCAGAGGCGCAGCTGCCCCGGAGGACGCGAGAAAAGGGCCACGCAGAGAGACAGGAGCAACGCAAAAGGAGCAGGAGCAGTGCAGAAGCAGCCGGCGGGCGGAGACCTTTTAAAGGGCCGCGCGCGGTCACGTGACGGACCGCCCGCCCTGGAGGAGGCGGGGCGCCGACGTCACTTCCGCCCGGCCGGACCCCAAGATGGCTGCGCTCCTGCTGAGGTGACTTTAGCGCGGGGCTGGGGTCGGGGCCCGCGGCCGCCCCGCCGCGTCGCGTCGGCGGCCTGTGCCCCGCGCCCGGGCGATGCGGGGGGGCGCTCGGGGCCGCGCCGAGGACAGCGGACTTGCTGTCTGGGACCCCAGTTTCGGGGTCCTCCTGGGTGTGAGGGGGGTTGGGCCGGGCCGCGGCACTAACGGGCCGCAGGGGGTGGGGCCGGGCCTTGGGGGCGGGGCCTGATCCTGGGGGCGGAGCGTTTGCCGGGGATGGGGTTTGGTCTTTCTTTGGGGCGGGGCTTGTGTCTTGGGGGCGGGGCCAGGACAGGGCTCGGGGCATGGATTGGACCTGGGGGCGGGGCCTGGACGGACTCAAGGTGGGGCTTGTACAGGGCTCCGGGTGGGGATTGGACCTGGGGGCGGGGCCTGAGTATGGGGGCGGAGCTTTTGCCGGGGGTGGGGTTTGGTCTTTCTTTGGGGCGGGGCTTGTGTCTTGGGGGCGGGGCCAGGACCGGGCTCGGGGCATGGATTGGACCTGGGGGCGGGGCCAGGACGGACTCAAGGTGGGGGCTTGGACGGGGCTCCGGGTGGGGATGGGACCTGGGGGCGGGGCCTGAGCACGGGGGCGGAGTTTTTGCCGGGGGTGGGTTTTGGCCTGTGTTTGGGGCGGGGCTTGGATCTGGGGGCGGGGCTAAGATCGGGCCCGGGGCATGGATTGGACCTGGGGGCGGGGCCTGAGTATGGGGGCGGAGCTTTTGCCGGGGGTGGGTTTTGGCCTGTGTTCGGGGCGGGGCTTGTGTATTGGGGGCGGGGCCAAGACCGAGCCCGGGGCATGGATTGGGCCGGGGGGTGGGGCTTGAGTATGGGGGCGGAGCTTTTGCCGGGGGTGGGTTTTGGCCTGTGTTCGGGGCGGGGCCAAGGCCGGGCCCGGGGCATGGATTGGACCTGGGGGCGGGGTCAGGACAGGGCTCGGGGCATGGATTGGACCTGGGGATGGGGCCTGGATGGACTCAAGGTGGGGCTTGGACAGGGCTCCGGGTGTGGATTGGACCTGGGGGCGGGGCTTGAGCCTGGGGGCGGAGCTTTTGCTGGGGGTCGGGTTTGGCTTGTGTTCGGGGCGGGGCCAGGGCCGGGCTCCGGGCTTGGATTGGGCCTGGGGGCGGGGCCTATTCTGGGCGGGGCTTGGGCCTGGGGGTGGAGCCTGGGCTCTCCCCTCGCTCCCCCCTGCACCCCGCTTCCCTCCAATCCCCCCAGTCGTGAGCTCTGCAGCCGAGGCCGCTGAGTGGAACCGGGAGCCTGGACGTCACCCAGCGCTGGCTGCGTTTCCTGCCGGGCCCTATTTTTGGCATCTCTTTGTTATGGAAAATTGAACCTGGGGCTGCTGGTTGCTGCGCCCATCCCTGTCCCCTGGGCTCCCCCGCCCGCCCCGCAAGCCTCTCAGCTCGGGGTTGCAGAAATAGAGACTGCTCTGTTTAGCTTTGCCCCGTGCTGCTGCTGGGCCTCCAGCGGCCCCTGTCCCTGTGCCAGGCCACCCCCCCAAAAAAATAACGGAATGCCTCTGGATTCTTGCAGAAGCCTTGCTGCTGTATTGCAGATTGCGGGTTGGGGCGCTCCGTGCAGGTCCCTTGGAATCCTTCCCTTCCTCCCAGACGCTTTATTTCCCATCAGTGTTTAGAAACGGGGGGTTGGGGTGGGGGGATGGGCGTGTCCACACGGACTGGACTCTGGGCTCAGGGCGACTCCCGGGGGCCAAGGTTGGATGAAGCGGCCGCCTTCTGCATTAGTGGCAAAGTGCAAAGTTCTCGCAAGAACTTCCTTTTCCCCCCATTGGTTGGTGACCCTGGGCGGTGCACTGCGCTCTTAGGCTTGGCTCTGGGCTCTCGGGAATCACCGAATCAGACAGGGACCAGTGGGGTGCTAGGGATAATAATTGGGCGAGCCACATGCAAGGCAGGCGCCCTGCCGGCTGCATTGTTGTCTTGACCCGCTGAAAGCAGGGAATTTTATTTGCCAGTTTATTTTTTCTGGGTCAACCCAGCGATGCTCAGGGGTTCCTCCTGGCTCTGCGCTCAGGAGTGGCTCCTGGCAGTGCTCGGGGGACCCTGTGGGATGCCGGGGATCGGACCCAGGTTGGCCCTGTGCAAGGCAAACGCCCTCCCCGCTGTGCTGTCGCTCTGGCCCAAAAGAAGGAATTTAATTTATTTTTTATATTTTTATTTTTTTGCTTTTTGGGTCACACCCAGCGATGCTCAGGGGTTATTCCTGGCTCTGCACTCAGGAATTGCCCCTGGCGGTGCTCGGGGGACCATATGGGATGCTGGGAATCGAACCCGGGTCGGCCGCGTGCAAGGCAAACGCCCTCCCCGCTGTGCTATCGCTCCAGCCCAAAAGAAGGAATTTTAGAAAGTGTCCCTGTCCATTGAAGTCCAGCTCAGCGGAGGGACTAGCCACTAGCAGCGTGGCCACTGCACTTTGGGAAAGGACCATCCAAGAAGTCCCAGCGTCACGGGAACATGGTCCCGGTGGCCTCACGGATTCTGTTTGTCTCGGAAGGTCCTGGGCATTGGATCCACGGTCGGGGCTAAGAATCGTAACCGTGTGGCCTGCAGGAGAGGGACCTGGGGGTCCCCTCTCGCACGTGTCTCACAGAGGTGGTTCGAGGTCAGAGTCCCCAGGCTCTGGGGTTTGTGCACGGCTTTGTGCCAGCTGCCCAGGGCCTCGGGTCCCCCCGGGACCGCCTTGCTGGCCCAGTGTGACCTGCCAAAGCCGAGGTGGAGATGGGCCCAGAGCTGAGAACAGCTGCCCATTCCTCGAGGCAGACTCCAGAGGTGAATGTCACCTTGGTCTGAGAAGCATGCGCAGCTCTGGGTCCCCACCCCGGGGTGTCTGAGGCCCCCCAGGGCTGGGGCAGAGCTGCCATGACCCCACCCCCCCTCCAGCCTACCAGTCGGGCCCGCCTGGTGTGGTCTCCCTAGCCCCACTCGATGCCGTGTCCCCCACGGCCCTGGTCGGGACATGCCTGGTTCAGGCCCTTAGTGGGGAGACGGGGTCAGGATCCTGCCACGGAACCAGTAACTGTGGGCAGCCGGGGACGGCCACCCCGAGGGGTATTGGCCATTGGAGGTGAGTGTCAATGTGGCTGGGGGCTGAGGTCCCTGACGCTGTGGGTGGTGGCGGTGGGGAGTGGGTAAGGGCCCTTGGAGGGGGGCAGGCGTTGGCGAGGCTGTGGCTGGTGCAGGGGACCTGGGTGCCTTATTTCCTCTGCGGGACGCGGCTCTTCAGAGAACGCGCCCTGGTCCGTTTTCCCGTGGTGTTCTCCCGACACCCACCCATACGTCGGGGGCTGTCTCGGACGCTCCCCCCCTCCATTCGGGGATCGAACCCGGGGCCCCTCCAGCTCTCTCTGGGGCCTTTCTGCCCAGTCCTGAATGGAAACGCTGGTCTGCAGCCCAGTGGGCAGGGCACCTGCCGTGCGCGGGGCTCGCTGGGTTTGACCTCCTGCAGCCCCCAGGAGGGACCCTGAGTGCAGAACCAGGATCAAGCCGGAGCAGAAGGGGGCTTAGTACAGAGGAGAGGGCTCAGCCGGGCACTCCTCAGTGCCCCTTACATCTGAGCCTCACCAGGAGTGACCACTGGGCGAAGAGCCAGGAGCGACCCCTGGGCACAGCCAGGTGTGGCCCAAAGGCAGAACTGAACAGAAGCACCTCAGAACTGGCCAGTCTCCAGCGTGGAGGGAATCGGGAGCCCAGAGGCACGGTGGGACTGCTCCGTTCCCAGTACCTACAAGCAGTGCCCGGCGTGCAGGGTCAGGAGTGACCCCCGAGCGTCGCCGGGTGTGGCCTGGAAACTCGTGTCCCGGAGCCGTGCAAGGACTGGTTGCTCTGGGGGGGGGGGGACGCAGGAGCCTGTGACCGTAGCGGGGGGCCGGCCCTGCTGGTGACCAGGCCCGGCCGGCTGGGTGGCGGCGTCCGGGCTGTGCAGTGAGCGCCCGGCTTTGTCCGGGAACAATAGGGGCCGGCTGAGCCGCTTAAATTCCAGCCCACCTCGGGCAGGAATGCCCCTTCCCACGCCGGCCGGGGGCGGGCACCCTCTGTTCACCTCTTGTCTCCAGGGCGAGGAGGTGGGGGGCTCTGCTGCTTCCCTGGGGGGCCCCAGCAAAGGAGAGAGGACCGTCCCCTAACTCCCACTGCTGGGGTATCCTGGGTCCCCTGATGCCCAGAGTGCTGGGCTGCCCGTGACTCCGACCTCCTGGTGGAGTTAGGTCCCAGCACTGTGTGTTCGGGGCCTTGGGAACCTCTTGCCGTGTTGCGTTTGGGGTGGGGGCATTGGGCCACTCCCGGCTGTCCTCGGGGATCCCTCCCGGCTCTGCTCAGGCCACCGCGTGTGGTGCTGGGGTTGAATCCAGGCCGGCCTGCCCCAGACCTGCAACTCTGGAGAGAACCTCCTCAGAGGCCCTACCTAGAAATGCAGAAATCACGCACCCGGCTTGCTCAGTTGATCGAGCGGGAGACGCTTACTCTCAGGGTCGTGGGTTCGAGCCCTCCCCCGCCCCCGTTGGGCGTGACTTTTGGCTTCTCAGCGTCGCGGCGACTAGCTCGGTCAGTCCACCCTTCCTCCGTCGAAACACGGAACCGAGTCTTGCCCGCACGCAGGCGATGCCGAATTCGGTGGTGGTCGGCCGGGAACGGACCCCCCAACCCCCTTGCTCTGTCTTGCAGGCACGTTGGCCACCACTGCCTGCGAGCCCACGTGGGGCCCCGGCTCTGCGTCCAAAAGTGAGTGTCCGTCCTGCTGGCGGGGGACACGAGGGTCCTGGGCGCCCGGTGGGGGAAACGGTGGTGTTTGAGACCCTGGATGGGGACCCCTGGGGTGGGGGCCATGGGAACGCTCATCCCGCAAGCCTGCCTCCCCATCTCCCCTCGGACGCGCCCCTCACCCTCCAACCCCCCTGCACGCCCTCTAGTGCGGCGGCCCTGGGCACCACGGCCAAGGAGGAGATGGAGCGTTTCTGGCGGAAGAACACGGGCTCCAACCGGCCGCTGTCCCCCCACATCACCATCTACAGGTAGGCCCGAGAGCCCCGTCCCTCTGTCCCCCTGTCCCCCTGTCCCTCTGTCCCCCTGTCCCCCTGTCCCTCTGTCCCCCTGTCCCACGCTGGGGCAGGAAGGATGGTGCTTGGTCCCCCGGTCACCACCAGGAGTGACCTCCGAGACGGGTGGTCTCCTGCCGGCCGGCGGGGCCTGGGATGCTGCGTGTCCAGGCACGCGTGCTTGGTGCCTCTGTGTCCCCGCGGGGGGCAGCCCTGGCCCCTCCGCTGCTGCAGCCCTGGCCTGGGCCCCGGCTTGGCTTCCTGCCAGCGGCCCCCACACATGCCACGGGCTGCCCATTGTTTGGCGGCCGGATTCCAGGGATGGTTCTGACGGCCGAGGGCCTGCCACGCGCCGGCCGCATCTCCCGCCTTCCCAGGATGCCGGGCTGGGGCAGGGGCTGTCCTCGGCAGGTGGCCCGGGCATTGGGGCTGTCGGGGGCCCTGTCCTGCCTAGCGGGCCGGCGCCCAGGATAGTGACCCTGCCCAGGGGTCCTCGTGTTGGGTCCGTTCCCTGCTGTCCTGTGCACGGCGAGATGGGGAGTTGTTGATGTCCATCTGCCAACTGTCCACTGAGTGGCCCCTTCACTTGCAGGCCACCATCGGGTCTGTCTGAGGGCCGGCCTCCTCAGTGTGCATGGCCCCCCGGGTCCCCTTTGCCCCCTGAGTATGGGCGGACGCTCGGGGGCCCACTCCCACCTCCCGGTGGGGCGTCTCTCTGGGCTCGCAGGCCCCTGCAGGACCCCCATTCTCTGGATTGGGGTGGGGGGAGGGGCTCGGTGTGGAGTCCCGGGTGACCAGAGCTGGACGTGGGCGCCGCTGGCCGCATCCCTCTCCCCGGGGAGCCTGTCCCCTCGTCCCCGCGTGCCCGCCCCTGGGGCCGACGCCTGGTCGCCGTGCTGGGCCTGCGTCCTGCCCCGCGGCCTCTGAAGGCCCCTTTGTGCTCCCGGCATGTGCCGGCCTCAGCGCCTTCTCCAATGCCGCCTTTGTGCGCTGCCCTTTGCCGCTGCCCCGAGTGGGCCCCTGCGCTGCGCCCGCCCCTCCCGCCGCCTCTGCCTCTACCTGCCTCGTTGTCGGTCCCCTGGGACCCTTCCGGCCGCCCCCCGCAAGGCCAGCAGGGCTGGGGATGGGCTGGGGGCGGCCCCCAGATGGGCACGTGAGGTCCCTGCCCCCTCACTCTCTGTGTCCCTGCAGCTGGTCCTTGCCCATGATGATGTCCATCTGTCACCGCGGCACCGGCGTGGCCCTGAGCGCAGGTACGAGCGAGCGCGCGTGGGCCGATCCGCGTGAGCGCATGCGCAGACCCCACCGCCTGGCCCGCGCGCTGACCGACCCGCTCGTCCCCGCAGGCGTCTCGCTGTTCGGCCTCTCGGCCCTGGTGGTCCCCGGGAGCTTCGAGTCCCACCTGGAGCTGGTCAGATCCCTGTACCTGGGCCCGGCCCTGATCCACAGCGCCAAGTTCGCCCTGGCCTTCCCGCTCATGTACCACACCTGGAACGGCGTCAGGCACCTGGTGAGTGTGCTCCCGCGTGCGTGTGTGCCTATGTGTGCGTGTGTGTGTGCATGTGTGTGTGCGTGCACGCGTGCATCACCCGGTAAGCTCCCTCCCACGTGCCTGCATGCCTACGGCGGGGCTGGTGGGCGGAGGCGTCCCCTCCCCGCCTGGACCTGTCGCTGGCCCTGCTTCCCTGGACACGACGGGGAGGAGGGGCGCGGGGGTCCTCGGCCCGAGGACCAAGGGCCTGTGTCCTTCCTTTGCAGATGTGGGACCTGGGGAAGGGTCTGAAGATCCCGCAGCTCTACCAGTCCGGAGTGGCCGTGCTGGTCCTCACCGTGCTCACCTCCGCGGGGCTGGCGGCCCTGTGAGGGGCTGTGTCCCCCGGGACCCCGCAGGCCCCCTCCCCGCCCCACAGCCCCCGCTTGTCTCTCGCCTTCGTCCCGGCCGCCGGTTCCGTCCTTCCCCGGACAGCGGGTGACGGCAACGCTGGAGCAGGCGTGGGGCCTGGGGTTTGAGCCTGGGTCCGCCGCCCCCATCGCGTGCACACAAGAGCCGCAGGGGGACCCCAACGGGACTGGGCGCCGGGGGCCGGGCAGGTTGCTTGTTGGGCAGAGGAAGACGCAGAACACTATCTATCACCGACTATTCCAGATTCTTCTTCCGCTTGAAAAAAATGAGCCTCCTTGCTAATCCACGTCACATGACGCCTTCTCGATAGCCGAATTAAAATACTAATTTGTCTTGGAGTGTTGGGTGTGGAGGAAGGACGGGCAGGGTGGCCGCGGGGGCCTGGGGCATGCAGGCGGATGGACACCCCAGCACTGACCCGACACCTCGCACTGGCTGGTGCTGTGCGAAGGTCCCGGACTGTGGCACCAGCAGATAAGGGCCCAGCGGTCTGGATGGGGAGGAGGGAGGGGAGGAGGGAGGCAGGGCTGGCATCTTCCTTTGCAGCCTTGTCCCCTGACCTGGTGTGGAGTCCCAGGTGACCAGAGCTGGACATGGGTGCCTCTGGTTGCATCTGGGTGGGCCAGAGGCACCAGATGCCTGGCTGTGGGCCTCCAGCTGTTTCTCGGCCTTAGGGCTGGAGTGATAGCCCAGCGGGTAAGGCCTTACAAGCGGCCAACATGGTCAACCTGAGCTCGATTCCTCCGCCCTTCTCGGAGAGCCCAGCAAGCTACCGAGTGTATCTCACCCGCACGGCAAAGCCTGGCAAGTTACCCGTGACGTATTCAATATGCCAAACACAGCAACAATTGTCACAATGGAGACGTTACTGGGCCCGCTCGAGCAAATCGATGAACAACGGGAGGACAGTGACAGTGACTCTGTGGCCCCTTGCCATGGCCACCCCACATCAGGGAGCAAAATGCCCGCGTGTCCCCACCTCGTTCCTGCAATCATTAGGATTCAAAGGAAGACGTTTATTCCTTGGTGCCCTTCCTCACTGGGCACTGGCCCCTCGTGAGCCCGCTGGACTGCAGGCCAACTTCTCTGGACTCTTGGATGCCGCTGTCCCAGTTCTCGCGGCCTGGGGTTTGGGGTCCACAGGGTTGGGGCTGCAGGGGGTGTTGGGTGGGGAGCAGGTGGGGAGGGGTGAGTGGACTGAGGTCGCTGGCCCCGGGGTGTGGCCAGCGGAAGGGTGTCTGCTCTGGGGCGAGTCCGGAGAGACGGAGCCTGCGTCCTGGGAGCCGGGGGTCACTTTGGGCTGCAGGGCCAGCAGTTCTGAAGTCTTGGAGGGAGACCCTGGCTGCTTCTGGGCCGTGTCACCCTCTGGCGGCTCTCGCAGCTGTCGGGGTGCAGAGGGGGCCTGAGCTCCCCAGTCCACGGCACCACCTTCCCTGGGGTGGGGGGTGTCCTCTGGCTCTGGGGGCCTCAGCAAGTCGAGGCACTGTGTGTCCACCTACCTTGCCCACAACCTCGGGGTACAGCCCATTGCACGCACGGAGGAAGTCGGGGTTCGCCTGGATCCACTTGGTGAGGTTGGCAGCGCCCGCCGCGGAGCGCCCAGTCAGGTTCACCCGCGCAGGGGGCACCTTGAGAGGCATCTGCCAGGTGCCCATGAAGGAGCCCCAGGGGCTGGCCTGGAGGGAAGAGTGGCCTGCGGGCAGCGCCCCTCGTGTCCCTTCCTGCCGTGGCTGCGGGATGGGGCCGCAAGCCCAATGTCCCGTCCCCCTGCTGTCCTCCCTGGGCGCCCCACTTTTCTTCATCCCTTTCTCCCGGGCAGTTAGGCAGACCCCCCGCTGGCAGGGGTGGCCTTGGGAGGCTCACCTGGGAGCGGGGCACGGAGGGCAGCAGGTGGCCGCGGTTGTCGGCGATGATCTGCGTGTAGCCTTCGTGGGCAGCCACTCTCTGGGGAGAGAAGTGACGGTGCGCGAGGGGCGAGCAGGGGCCCCGGGAGCTGGGTGGGGGCGGGCCGGGGTGCGGGGGGATGTTGGGGCGCGGCGGGACGCACCCACCTCCTTCGTCGGCCGCGCGGGGGACCAGTTCTGCAGCTGCACGGGCCGGTACGCCTTCTCGTACTGCGGGAGGAGAGAGGGGCTCAGGGCACGCCCCCTCCCCCTGCCTGCCCCCAGGACCCAGGGAGAGGAACGCTTTCGGCTCCCGACGGCAGTGCCCACGCCCCCGGGTGGGCCCGAGTTTGCCCCTGCGCGCGCCACGCCGCCCAGAGATGGGGAAGAGGCGCACCTGGTTGGCGCTGTAGTTTGCAGCCATGGTCCAGGCTTCCCGCTGTTTACAGGCGTTGCTAGGCAACCGGAGCCGGCGGGCGCCCTGGCCACGCCCCGCGCCGCTGGCCACGCCCACAAAGTCTGATCTGGCCACGCCCTACGACGCTGACCACGCCCCTGGGCTTTGTTTCTGCCCTCCAGTCTCTCGCCACGCCCATAAGTCTGAGCTAGCCACGCCCCTACCACACTGACCACGCCCATAAGTCTGATCTAGCCACGCCCCGACGACGCTGACCACGCCCATGGCTTTGTCTCCGCCCTCCAGCCTCTCGCCACACCCATAAGTCTGATCTAGCCACGCCCCTACGACGCTGACCACGCCCCTGGGCTTTGTCCCCGCCCTCCAGCCTCTCGCCACGCCCATAAGTCTGATCTAGCCACGCCCCTACGACGCTGACCACGCCCCTGGGCTTTGTCCCCGCCCTCCAGCCTCTCGCCACGCCCATAAGTCTGGTCTAGCCACGCCCCTGCCACTCTGGCCTGGTTCTGGGACCCCTGTGACTCTCGCTATGACCTTGGGCTTTGTCCCCGCCCCCAGGCTTCTCTGGTCACGCCCCCACGACTCTAGCCACTCCTCTGGGCTTTGTTCCCGCCTCAAGCATCTGGCCACGCCCACAATTCTGGTATAGCCACGCCCCTGGGTTTCTGGCCACGCCTGCAAGTCTGGTCTGGCCCTTGCCCCTGAGCCTCTGGCCGCGCCCCCTAGAAGCCCCCCACCTTTCCCCCTGCAGCATCACAGGCCCTCCTGTCTCTTGGGGGCTCTTTTATTGCCCTCCCAAAGCCAGGAAGCCGGGAACGCCCCTGCCCCTACACTGGGCGGTGTCCCAGCGGTCCTGTGTCCCCCAGGGCCCAGTTTCCAGGTCTCCTTCCTCCTCTCTCACCCTAGGTGGGGTCTGAGAGCACGCGGGGCTGGCTGGGGTCAGGGGGCTCAGGAGGGGACGCCAGAGACTGAACTGGACAGTGGGAGAACACCCTCCAGCCAGACTCTATTTAGTCGTGGGCCTGGCCAGACCTCACGGCAGGCCCAGCTGGGGACCACCCCCAGCCCCAGGCCCCGGTCTGCCAGCCGCCCCACAAGGCCCAGAAAGGAGCAGCAAATCAGAAGCATCCGTGAGAAAGCGGGACCACTAAAGGAATCGTCACTTCGGGGGTGAGGGAGAAAGATCTCGGGAGTCAAGAATCAGTGTCCAAGCAAGTTCAGCCAGAGCCTTAGGGGACCACAGTCAGCTCTCTCCTCCTTCCCCAAAGTGCTCACCCAGCCTGCACCCACCCCAGATGGAGTCTGGACAGTGGGGTGACTCTGGGAGGGCAGTAAGGACACAGTCCCCCACAGTGGACGGGCTCTGCTGGCCGCTGATGCTTCTGCTGCTCTGAGAACCTGCTAGCGGGGCCAGGACACAGCCCTGGCTTCAGGCAGACCCCGCCTTGGTCCCCGGAGCTCTGCTGATCCTTGAACGCAGACAGAGCCAGGAGTACTCCTGGAGCACGGCAGGCTGTGGACCCCGCCACTGCCCCCAATTAGCTAGTTTCATTGGAAAAGTCAGTCCTTTGAGTGGGAAACAAAGTCACCCGACTCCCATGCTCTGGCTGCAGTAACCGCCTTCTGTGATGGTAGTCACTGTTAACCGCAGTACTGTAGTACTGCTGTGGTGACTGCAGGGAGCACTCACTCGGTTACTGCAGGGAGCACTCACTCGGTTACTGCAGGGAGCACTCACTCGGTTACTGCAGGGAGCACTCACTCCTACTGCAGGGAGCATTCTGTTACTGCAGCAACTGCTGCTCTGGTGACTGTAGCTAGTTAACCGCTGGCCTGTTTCTGCAGTGACTGCTACTTCTGTTGCTCTCGGAACGACTGCTCCTATGACGGGAAGGAGCTGCCGCTTCGGTTACTGCAGTAACTGCTGGCCCAGGTCCTTAGTAACCGCCGCTTCCACCGTTACCGTAGTGACTTGTTCATCCTGTGACTTTGGGCGCTGTTGGTAGCTCGTTCCGTGTCCGCTGCCTGAAAAATGTTCTCTGGATTGGAGCTGTAATAGGAGCATATGTACTTTTATTTATTTTTTATTTATTTATTTCTTTATTTTTCTTTTTTGGGGTCACACCTGGCGATGCACAGGGGTTCCTCCTGGCTCTGCCCTCAGGAAAACACTCGTGGCAGTGCTCAGGGGACCATATGGGATGCCGGGAATCGAACCCGGGTCGGCCGCGTGCAAGGCAAACGCCCGCCCCGCTGTGCTCTCGCTCTGATTTTATTTTGCCGGGTCCCCCAGCGCTGTTGGGTGTGGCCCAAACCCTGCAAGCAAGAGAGAGTGAACTGTTCTCCGGGGGTCCTGGGACTCGTGGGGCCTCTGAAGGTGGGCTTGGCCTCCAGCGCTGGACTCACCGTCCTCACCCACTCACGGGGCCCCCTCCTCCGCGTGGGGCTGAGTCCTCTGGGGCTGTTATTCTGGGAGGGGATGGCCATTTTAGGCTATTTGTCTCTCTAAGCGGCAAGTGGCGTGCCGGGCTGCTCCCGTGGGAACCGGCCGGTCTGAATTTCTCAGACTCTAGGGGACAAGGTATAAATAGTCACCGGCCGCCTCGAGCCTCTAACAGGACGGCTGTGTTTAAGCCTTTCTTCGACCCGCCGGCCACGGGGACAGCTGCAGCCGTCCGGGGTGACCAGGCCCTTTTGAAGTCACCAGCTGCTCTTCGAAGCTTCTCACGGGCTCCTGGTGCCGAAGCTGGAATCCAGAACCCAGGATTGGGTTCTGAGCTGGACTGGCAGGCATAAATGTCAGGCTTGGTCCCCAGCTCTGCCTGGTCCCCCTGAGCACCTCTGGATGGGGCCCAGTGGCAAACACAGAATAGAAAAATGGAGAGAGGCCAGGGCAGGCCCTTGCTTTGGTGCTGAGGGGGACACATTCCGGTCTCTAGATCTGTTCCCCCGAGGGTAGCATGTGCCAGAAATAGAAACCAGCCTGTGGGGACGGAGTGGACAGGGCACTGGTCTGCACACGGCCAACCCGAGTTCGATTCCCGGCATCCCATAGGGTCCCCCGAGCCCCGCCAGGAGTGACTCCTGAGCACAGGGCCAGGAAAAAGGCCTGAGCATCACCGGGTGTGGCCCCCAACCCCAAAAAAACACACAAAGGAGAAATCTGTTACTCATCTCCACTGCCCTTGACTCCGGTGACCACTCCTGGCTTCTTCTTTCTGATAAAGAAGCGTTTGGGGCTACGTCACACGCGCATTTATCAAGCACTTCCCTTTTCCACGGGGGACCAGGAACACCTCACTGCTGGCCTGAGATCATGATTTCCTGTCGGGAAATGTGGCTTTTTGTTTCCTGCCTCGCTGGTGACCGCAGGCCACGGAAGGGGCTGAGGGGTTTCTGGTGTGTTGGGGGCTACAGCTGGCAGAGCCTCTGTGGCTGGCATTGCGGGGTTGGGGCCTGGGACCCCCATCTGCAATGCCTGTGCCCCCCACCCCCACCCCCCAGTGCATGGAGCTCTGCCCCCGGCCAGGGAGGGGCATCTGTGGCCGGGTCAGAGAAGACGTAGTGGAAAGTTTGCAGCCCTGATCCAACGCCCTGAGGGAGGTGGCACATCGGGGGAGTCGGGTGGGGTTCTCGGCAGCTCTGAGGCTGGAGAGATTGAATCTCCAGATGCCTTGCGCCCAACCCGCCCCTGTCCCAGATGATAAAGGGGTTCCCGGGGCCTTCCCCCTCAAACCCTCCACAGAAGCTGCCTCTCACGCAACCTGGCCTGGCCCAGGACCTTGGGGGGGGGGCGTTCCCCCACTCAGAGCCGGAACAATCTGGGCCCTGCTGTCCTCCAGTGACCCCGTGTCACCAGCCCTGGCCGCCCCAGCAGCCCGGGGGTCCTGAAACAGCCGTCCCTGTGCAGGTGGAGACCCTGGGCTCGAGGGAATTACTAGCCAAGGACACCCCCGTGGCTCCCCTCAGGGGCCCCGCGGGACTCAGAGGCGCCCTCTGTTGGCGAGGGACCTGCCCTGTCTCACGGACCCTTCGGGAAGCGCCTCGGCCTGAGGTCTCAGGGGCCCATCAGACTGCTGGGCGCTTGCTAGCCCCGTGCCAATGGCGACTATGAGGAACACGGGAGAGCACGTGTGTGAGCATGCGTGTGCTTGTGTGCATCTATGTGCGTGTGTGCATACTTGTGTGTGGGTTGTGCACGTGTGTGTGCATGCATGTGTGTACATACAAGTGTGTGCATTGTGCACGTGTGTGCATGCATGCCTGTGTGTGTACCCACAAGCGTGCATTGTGCATGTGTGTGCGTGCTTGTATGTGCGTGCGTGCATAACTGGGTGTACTGTGCACGTGTGTGGACTTATGTGTGTGCATACATGGGTGCATTGTGCACCTGTGTGCATGTGTGTCTGTGTGTCCATACAAGTGTGCATTGTGCACACGTGTGCGCACAAATAGGTGTATTGTGCATGCGTGTGCGTGCGTGTATGTGCATATGTGCATTCATGGGTGCATTGTGCACGTTGTGTACATGTGTGTGTGCATACGTGGGCGCATTGTGCATGTGTGTGCATGTATGTGCGTGTGTGTGCATACTTGTGTGTGCATTGTGCGCGGGAGTGCCTGAGTGCGTACATGTGTGTGCGTGTGTGTGCATACATGTGTGTGCATTGTACACGTGTGTGCATGCATGCATGTGTGCGTACATACGAGTCTGCATTGTGCACGTGTGTGTATTTACGTGTGTCCATACAAGTGTGCATTTTGCACACGTGTGCGCGTGTGCAGACATGGGTGCACTGTGCACGCGTGTGCGTGTGCCTGTGTGCCTGGGTGTGGTGCCGCGCGGAGCCCTTGCAGGCCGGACACGCGTTTTTCCACGGAGCCACTTCTCAGCACCCAGCCCTCCCTGTGCTTGCAGCGGGAGGGAAAGGACTTTGGCTTAGGCGACAGCAAGCAGGAGTGAGACTGAGGGATGAAGCAAGAATTCCGGCCCCGAAGCCCTTTGCCAAAGTTCA